AAGCATGCTTAGTGTGAGGGATTGTATTGAGTCAATGAGTCGATGCAATCAACTGGTTTTCCTTAGATAGAAAACTTTGTATCAATTTGACTGTATGATCTGGTTGAACTGTGAAGTGCCTTGAGATGACATGTGTTGTGAATTTGGCGCTATATAAATAAACTGAATTGAATTGAAATTGAAATAGTGCCACATTGCCAGAGAGGACCCTCAGAAAAAAAAATCAGCAAAATGTCTTATATTCAAAAACAACAAAAATACCACGTTAAGCAAACTATGCAAAATGACAGCTCTTCACAGATCTTCCACTAATGATGTCCCACTACGGCTGGAGGATTTACGCAAACATAAATAACCACAGAGAAGAGACTCAGCTCAGTTCTGGAAGGAGGGGGTTATCGATGTTTCCATACAGAGCATAGGAAGCAACCTGTGTTTTTCTCTGTACATTAATGAATCTTCAGTGGGCTGTGAGCTTTATCAGGAAATGTTTCCTCATTTTTTCACTTACTGTGGACTAAAACCTTTAGCCTTATAATTCATGGATGAGGGAAAATGCTCTCAGTATTATTACAATGTGTTCAGCCAGTAGGTTGGTTGTTTTTTGGGTGAAAAGCTTTAACTACAATTATCGTTCTTTATGTCTGACTGTTGAGAATGTGAAACGGCATGATTAACTCTTCACAGGTTTTTTTCTTTTCTTTTACTGCTTATATCAACTCCTGGGGTTTGACCTATTTGTATTTCACTGTCATCTTGATTTTGTATGCCTTCATAGTCTTCTCTAACGTCCTGCTCATCGTTGTGATCTGCATGAACAGGAGCTTACAAGAACCCATGTACATGTTTCTCTGCAGCCTGTTTGTCAATGAACTGTATGGCAGCTCAGGCTTGTTTCCCTTCTTGCTGGTTCAGATCCTCTCAGATCTCCACATTATTTCTGCTCCGCTCTGCTTACTTCAGGGTTTTATGGTCCATTCTTATGGGGCGGTTGAGTTTTTAAACTTAGCAGTTGTCTCATATGACCGTTACCTCGCTATCTGTTACCCTCTGCAGTACAACAACAAAATGACACCCAAAAAGATTGCCGTACTGATTGCTGTGGCCTGGATGTATCCACTTGTTGCCATGTCCTTCATGATGACTCTGATACCGGTGAAGCTGTGTGGGAACCAGATAAACAAAGTGTACTGTGATATTCATTCTGTGGTTAAACTGGCCTGTACGGAAAGTGCCATCACGAACATTTTTGGACTCACTGCTACATTCAGTACTATATTGGTCTCTTTGCTTCTGATTCTCTACACCTACATCAAGATCCTTGTTGTGTGTTTCTCTGGATCCAAACAAACCCGTCAGAAAGCCTTGAACACCTGCACGCCTCACCTGGCCTCCATTTTGAACTTTTCCTTCGCTGGTAGCTTTGAGATCTCTCAGAGCAGATTCAACATGAGCTTCCTGCCAAACGTTCTGCGTATTTTCCTCTCGCTTTACTTCCTAACTGCACAGCCTCTTTTTAACCCGCTGATGTATGGCCTGAAGATGTCTAAAATAAGAAATGCTTGTAAAACTCTACTTCTGAATGTAAACCAGTGACACAAATGTATTGTATTTACACAATATTAACCTATAGTAGCAAAGAAAAGGAATCTTTGTAGACCCAGACCAGACAAATAACCAAATATTTTATGACTGTTTAAGAAGCAATTGTTTCAAAAGGTTCAAAATAGTATATGAAAACCATATTTTTACAAAGTGTGTCTCAGCTAAAGGTTATTTGGACCAAAACACTCAGAGGAATGTATGTTAGAGATACTGAAGAACGTCCACTCAATTTGATGCTTCATGCTGAAAGATTTTTTTATGGGTTTAAAACTGCTTTTGATTTTGTTATAAAGGTTTTCTGATATATCCATGATGTTTTTAAGATTTTAAATCTTTTTGATATGATGTATATATGAGTGGAAAAAGAAATGAGAATAAAGAAGGAACTTCCTGGAGAAGCATTAGTTTCCTCTGGCTGCCCTTTGAGCTTTTTGATAAACCCTGAAGATTGTTAGTCTTATTTAAATAGTGACTAAAGAAAGAGTTTCTGTTTATAAACCAAGATTTAGGGAACCAACAAGAATAGAGATTCAGTTGGTCCTTAAACCACAAACATACAGTCTAATGCAACCTTATTCATACAACTGATGCATTTACAAAGTCTAATATTCACACTAAGTCAAGTTGGAAGTATTGAGTGAAACTGAATAACCGAACTAAATTAATATGTTACTTTAAAAGAACACTTCGAAAGAAACGCTGTGCTGGTATTATAGGACATTAGTTCACAATTCAATTCAACACTGTTTTTTAGTACATTTTATGGAAAATGCATGGAAGGCTGCTTCAGCCTTTAAGGTACAGCTCTGGGCTGGTTTCAAGACCTTTTAAAGGACGGGGCCTTTTTCTATGTCAATAGGTGACTTTACATCAGAGACCACAAAAATCACATGCAGTGATCCCCATTGTCAAGGTTGATGAATGTTTGACAGGACCAAAATGCAGACACTGAAGCTGAAGTGGTTTCTTGCTAAATTGAATTAATGAAATGGGTAACAGAAGCAAAAATCCAGAAACTGAAAGCCAGGAATACTCACAACAAGGGGGCAAATAAATGACGACAAACCAGCAACAGTGACTGAGCAGGAGGTGTATTTATCAGAATCAGAAATACTTTAATAATCCCAGAGGGAAATTACTTTTGTTTACACGCTCTAGTTACAGTTTTACATAATATATACCGTATTTTCACGACCATAAGGCGCACCGTACTAAAAGGCGCAGTCTCAGT